AGGGTTCCTGAGTCTGCTAATACCTCTCTCTTATGCCTGAGTGGTGCTGTGTGGGTTACATTTATACACACGAAGAACTGAATCAAGAGGGATTTACTCATATATATGTATGTTTCCAGGTAAGACTTCCAATATGCCACTGCCTGCTGCATATTAAGGGTGGCTGGGGGGAACCAGACTGCTTATTTGTAATGTCCCTGTATTTTTCTATGCTGCTTCTGTCTTTTTTCCTTACCCTGGAAATCCATTAAGAAAGGAAAGACAAAATGGGTGCACTGGACCTTTTGCTTGTTAGTACTACTAGCTGTCTATCTAGAAGCATCCATAAACTCAATCCTACAAATAATGGTGTAGGCCAAAACTTCTGCGAGGCTATATGGATTTGTAGTTTTGGTCTATGTAACAACGTTTCATGCACTTGTATCAAATGTTTAAGAACAGTATAATCCCCTTTCACTGCCATCTAATCAAGAATGAAGTCCATGCTGCTGCTGTTTAAAAAATATTATTCAAATGGTAAAATGGTGGTAAAATGTGAAATTCTTTGAAAACTTTTCTTTCAGATAAAGGAACACATCTTCCAGTGGAGATGTTGATCTTAGGAGGAATTCTAATGGCTGTTGTGGTCATGACTGCAATTTTTGGAAACCTTTTGTTTCAGTCAAGGAGGAGATACCCTACTGTGCAAGCACAGCTGATAATGTCTCGTTTTTACAATTCTGAAATACCATCATGAATTGCTACCCAATAATCTAATAAAATGCTTAGCCCTTATTGCAGCAATTGCATTACATGGTATTGTAGCCTATCACTATTAAAATACAAAATTTAAAATGCTATATGTCTCATGACCTCAGATTACACTGCTCACCCAATTATAGATGAAGCTCATCAGAATTAGGGAGAATGACTCAACAATTTAAGTGAACCAATGATCTGAGGATGTGTAGGACCACTTCAGTTGTGAAAAGTGTTTTAATGTACGAAAAAATGCATAAACTCTGAAGATTACACATATGTGGATTTGCTACATGCAGCATGAAGATAGAGTGAACAATAAAATGGATGACTGTGTGGTCATCACATTTGATTATCTCCATAATCATTGCATATTTTTCTTACAGAATTGTCATCCAGGTAAGAAATTTGTTCTGATGTTTGAAATAGACCTAAGGAATTGCATTCTTGTGTTAAAAGATCCTGTTATTTCTGCAGGATAAAAGTTCATTTTCTGACAGTGTTTTCATGAAAATAATCAACTGGCCACATTTTTTTTTTCAAAAACTGATGCCAACATGATCCTAAACATCATACGGCTAATCTATTGTTTATGTAACACAGCCACAAATACAGTTTTCCCATTATTGGTTACGAAATGACTTGTTTTTGCTGCTGGCTGCTTTCAGTATTAAAAAATTGATCAAACCTGAACTTTTCTACCCCCAATCCTGGAAGCCAAGTATTATATAATCCTGTCTCAATATCCTTCCCTTCACCCTAGCTTTTCAGGATACTTTTGCATTAAAAGCAGAGGATGATACAATCATTTAAGTTTAGCATTTAAAGCCATTCTATGAACTCCATGAAGATTTTTCTTGGCTGTAATAAGTGTTTCTAAATTAAATGCTGATCTATTACTAGAAGGATTGTAATACTGAATGAACTACTGAATTATTTGAGTGACTATGGGATTATGACTTTCAGAGGTATCTATGTTTGTCTGTGGCAACAAAACAGTTTGTGGCACCTTAAGAATGAGATTAAAATAGATTAGCTGTCAACATCTTACACTCGGGGACAATTGCAGTAGAAAGCTTAGCATGTTCACTCACAGTTAGCCCCATAATTCTATAACTGCCAATGGGATGTTTTTATGCACACGTCCTAGATACCTAACTGGGCACAATGACTTCAATGGTCATCTGGTCCAATTCCCTGCCAATGTAGGAAAAACACTATTTCTAACAGATGCCCATCCAGACTATATTTGAAAACATGTAACAAAGGAAAGCACCCCTTTTCAGAGCAGTCTGTTGCAGTATTGAACTGCTAGATCATTCAGCAAGTTCCTTGAAATGCTGGGTTGAAATCCCCTTTCTGGTAATTTGAGAACCAGTTACTTTGGTCTCTGTCCTAAAGACCAACAGAGAACAAATTTGCTTTGTCATCTGTGTGTCAGGCCTCGAAACTTCAAGATGACTATAGCATCACCTTTTCCATATTTATAAGAAACTAAGAGGTTATATAGAGCCTGGGGAAAATTCAGCTGTGTGTAACCAGATGAATTTGGCATAATCTGGGAGTTTTAAAATCTCATATATTTGAGGAACTGCAAATTGCAACTAAAACAAGGAGTGCTCCTACAACAAGAATACTATAGAAAGAAAAAAGCTGTTACTCTTGGAGGTGCATATGCTCAAACATGCTAAATTATCAAGTTGCTTCAGACTTTATGATAAGCAGGAAAAAGAAAAGGAACAAAGAGACCCCCCCCAAAAAAAACAAACTACAAAACAAAATTAGTAAAAAGGTGGGCTTCCAGGTAATGTGTGAAGGAAATTATGCACCTTTTGTTTGTGATGCTGTCACCCATATTCAAGGTAGTTTGATGGATAGAAAAATATGCCCCTAAGATTGTGGAAAAGAATGGAGATATTTTGAGGGGCTAGACATTATGGATTATACAGTTTTGCCCACATGGTTCTGTAGATAAATGTGGCCAGTTAACATTCTAACACTGAAAAGCTTCTAAGAGAAAAGACATTGAAGCATGTGGGTTCAATTTTCTGTACATGCTTTATATTTCAAAAGTCTTTATATTGATTTTAAAGATATTAATATGACCCATCAGCGATAAAAATCATTAAGTATATAGTCTGAAGCTAGTGCAGAGGGTTGCTACTAATATTTTTTATTTGGAAAGGCATGACCTTATCAGAGAAATCAGGTTGCAGTATCAACCCATAAAGGCTATCAAGGAAAATAAAGCAGCTTTGGACACTTTGGGCATTGGAATTATTTTATCAAGGGTTTAAGGTACAATCCAATCATGCTGCCTATAATCCTTTGAACTTGGAATATTATGGGTTTTCCTATGCAGGGCAGATTCCGTCAGCTCTGCAAAGCAGCTAGGTGGTCCTTTTTGGCTAACTGTGACACTTCAAAGTTGGAGGGAAGGAGACTGAGGTGCTGCCAAGCTGTATCTTACCTTGGCAATGCCCATCTCTTTCCCTCCCCACCCTGTGGAACACACCTAAACCCCTTTCTCTTATCACTTCAGAAAAGCAACCAACAGGATCTTTCAGCTGTGCCTAAGAGGGGGTGGGGGTGAGGGCAGATCCTCCAAATGAATCCTATAAACCTCTAGAAGTTGTCTAGGAGCCATAGGATCATTCTGCTCAGGTTTTTTTTTTTTTCTTGAAGCTGTGTTGGCTAGATTAAACATTCTCTTCTACCTCCTATTGTCATCATTTGACATTTAAAAGAGAACTATTGAGCTTTCCCATTCTCTAAATTGACTCCAACTTCCCCATTTGATTATCTGAACAAGATTCAACAGAGATTTGGGGGCACTGAAGCCAATAGTCTCTTGTGTCCAGGAACTTTTAAGAAAATGTTGCATGTAATTAATTTAAAGCAAGGAGATTAGGGTGCTTCTAATCCAAGCCAAATCTTGCCTCATTCAGAGTTTTACAATTGCCTTCTACTTGTAACACTCCTGTATTTTTCCACCCTTTCTTCCATTATTGTTCCTCCTACAGAAAGTACATTAACAGCAACAACAACAACAAAAGACAGAATATCTGCATAAAATGCCTTCGTATTGGTAGCATTAGGAGTCTTCCAATTAATGCCGTTCTGTAGCATCATTTTACAAAATGCAGCAAGTGCAACTCAAGGTAGTTGCGCCTGTAAAATAATACGAATCAATGGTTGGAAATAAGGTGTGCAGGTATATTGTTTCTTCTCCTTCAGAGAGTTGTGGCAAAGGCCTAGTCCCAGAATATTTTCAATGGCAAAACAGAATATTGAAAAAAACAATACTAAAGAAAAGCACTTCAGTCTGAGTATGTACAACTACAAATTAAGGAAGCTCCATGTTAGGTGACTGATTTCAGGGAAATACTAAAAGTATGTCACTTGTCCATCCTTTAATTTTAACATATCAGTATAGGTTGAGTCTGTGAAGCTTTAAAATAAAAGCTAGCCACATTTTCTGCTACAGGCAGAGGCTACAAAGGCATTCCTAGTGGATAGCTGGAGACCACTATGTTAGACCTGACTACCCACTAAAACTTTTCACAGAAAAGAAGTTAAAGACAACCAAGCCAAAGGCCCCAGCTGCTTCCTGTCATGTGCATGGTATGCAGTGGGATGATCTTGAGAGGACTGTGGGATGAGGCAGGGAAGACTGCAGACCTGTAAAATGAGCTTACAAAAGGCTGGGGAAGGAGCCAGGGCTGGGAGATGGAAAAAGAGGGATGCGTGCTTGTATGATGAGTGGATGAGGTGTGGTTACATGTCTGAAAAGGGTGTTATAATTTAGAGGTACTTTTTCTAATTTCCGAATGTGTCCCCCAGTCCAAAGGGTTAGGGGCCTGGGTCTATCGCTCTTGCCCCACAGAACTAAAGGTGCAGGATTCCGGAGCAAATGATTAAAATGAAGCACAGCGTGTGTCCCACTACACTCCTGCGATGCTTTAAACTGAATAGAGCCTCACGAGGCCTGATCCCACGCATGTTTACTCCAGGGCCAATCTCACCGCTTTCGGACAGCGCAGCTTGCTCCCGAACACGCATGTCGCGGACAGCACAATGCCCGGCAGGAGGCGCCCGACCAGCGGCTTCGCACGGCCCCCCCGCCCGAGAGAGCGGCCGGCCGCCCGCCCGCCGCGTCGCCTCCGTCTTTGCGTCACCGACACTCGTGCCGGCGCCGTCTCCTGCGGCTCCTCCCCTTCGCTCCTTTACGGCACCCGTTCCCCAGCCAGCCGGAGGCGTGGGACAAGGAGCCGAGGGAGCGAGGCTGGCAGGGCCGGAAAGCGACGCTGGGAGCTGGGCTCGCGGTCCTCGACCCCACCTCTCGCCGGAACCGGATCGGATCCTGGCGCGTCTGGGCGGGGCCGCTCTGTCGTCCGCTCGCTGGCTCCATGTTCGAGCTGCTTCGCGGAGGGTGGACCGGGCGGTGAGTTCTGCGTGAGGAAACCCGGGAGCGGGGAGGGGAAGGGGCTGGCGGGCGGGCGGGCTACCTGCCTGCCTGCCTGCCTGCCTTCATGAGGCTGCTTCCTTCGGGGGTCTCGGACTGCGGCTGTTGCTGCTCCCTGCCGGCCGAGAAGTAAACAAATGGCGGCGGTTGCTGCTATAGTGCCGTTGTCCGCGGCTGGGGAGTCCCTCCTTGGGCCTCGGCCAGGCAGAATGGGCCGGGACCGGGTCGGTCCGTCAGAACCGCGCTTGGCAGGGGGCTGTGAGGCGGCGGGCGGCCCTCGCCGCCCCGCTGACAGTTGGTGCGTGTCCTTTCGGGGTGCGCGGGAGGCGTCGCGGCTCCTTTGCTTTGCTTGGAAGATTCGGCTGGCTTTGGCTTTTCTTCTCGCGGTCCCTTTCTTAGGAAGGGGACCTCGCTGTGTTTAAGAGGAGTGTCGTGCGAAAAGAAAAGATGTGCCACGCTGGTTTCTTCCCTCCCTACGTAGTCTCTTTCCTTGCACCCTTTCCTATCTAGGAACAATGGCAATGGTGTAGACAGAGAGGGAGCACCTCTTTATTCAGCCCGGTGCCGATGAATTAGCATTTCTGCGGCAGTAATACGCGGAGGTGCGCAAACGTACAGCCGTGTGCACACACCCAACTGCCACGGGTCAAATAGAGCTCCATGGTGAGTGGCGTGGGGAAAACAGCTGCGAGTCATCGCGTGGCTCGCTGCTTCTCTTCACGCCCCGACACAAGGTGTTGAATAACTTTACAAGGAGAGCTCGCTCAGGATTCACTAACAGGAATGTTCTGCGTTGCTCTCTCTGGATGTTTAAAGAAAAAATCAAATGGTTGAATGGAACTGGAATTTTGCCTAGATAACTTGTTCCAATGAGGGCTGTCCTGTCAAGGAAGTCTGTGCCTTAAAAGGAGGCATTATTGCTCCCATGCTAAACATGAGGAAGGGAAGGATGGTTGCTCTGGTCAAAACGCATTATAAGGAAGAATTGAGCTCTCGGGAAAGTAGTGCTAATTCTCCAACTGAATAATAATGTATTCAGTTGTCTGTTGAAAGGGGGTGTGTGGGTGCAGTATTTTGAAACATTTCTTAGTTGATAGCAGAATGTAATAACTACATAAAGTTTGGGAAGCAGAATTTGCAATTAGGAAATGAGGAAACTCAGATTTCTTTAAAAGAGCAAACACTGAACAGTGGCATAATCTAAAATAAATGACTAAGCAAGTTATGCTACTTCTGTGAAAAAAGTTGACTTTTTTATTCAGTAGGCATCATGATGAAAATTGGTGCTAAAATTCTTAAATGCTTTTGCAGTGAAAGGATAAGAAGTTAAGGTTGTTTTAACTTGCAGTTATATATCTGCTTTCCTCACTGGATACAATGAGACTACTTCTGTGTAGATGTAGATGTATATAATATTGCACTGTGTTGTTTTCAGCCCAAAATACCTCCCTCCCTCACACACTAACATGTTGAAAATAATTCTGAATGATCATTCATTACCAAATAGGAATGCTCCTTTCAACAGCATGGTTTACGTCATGCAGTGACAATGCATTGAAGTATATTTTAGCTGAGTCATAGTTGTCAATGACTCTTTGAAAATAAGACTTTGGAATCATTCATCTTATCTGAAATATTGGCAGTCAGGAAGTTAACTTATGTAGTTTCCATACACAAGCTTTTAATCTTCCATTTTCCCCTGTTCTTCTTCTTGGGTACATTCAGAGAGTTGCAGCTGTGGCAACAGTATTATTATAATTGTATTTTTATTCATAATAAAATAAGGAAATTTTGAGATTTCTCAGTTTTTATATTATTTTATAAAGCTATCTTGAAGCTATGTTGCAGTTGTTTCAGAAATAGCATTGTTTTGGAAACAATATGGTGCAAATATTGTTCAGCCATATTATATTAAGCTATTAAAAGTGTACTTCTATGCATGCCTAATTCATAAATAAGCCCCATTGAGTTCAATGATGTGAGACTTACTCCAAATAAGTGTATAAAGGAATCTAGCCATAGGGCAGTCTCCAGCACTTCCCATGCACTATAAGGACACTAGGTCAACAGGAATTAAGTGGATCTGGAAACAAAACCCAGCCAAAACACTAGTTGATCTTGCTGACATAACAGAAAGAACGGGAGTACAGTGGTGGTCCTTAGTCTATGAAGATCTTTCTGGAAACACATCAATCTGAGCCACATTCTTTGAGAACAAGTCCCATTGATTTTAAAGGAATTTACTTCCAAGTAGTCTACCAGGGGACGTAACACCTTGGAAGAGAAGGTTCTCTGTATTCTTTTCACGTGACATTATCACATACTGTATCTTCTACTTGGGCTACAGTTTCAGTAATTAATGACAAGGAGTCATACTTTCACTGTTCATGTAACTGTTACCATCTTGCAGATTAACCACATTTGGATATATTTCACCTATGTGTTAGTCCTGTAGTTCATTGTAAAGAGGCCTAAGGGTATACACGATTAAGTTGCAGTTCCATTTTCAAATCATGATTTATCAAAGGCAGAGAACTCATATTCATCTGATAAATGAAAATTAAGTATCAGATGTGTGACTTCTGAATGTCTACACACTTGGACTATTGTGTTTTTCTCTGAAGTGGTTTAAGGAGAGACTCTGTTTTCTGTGGTTACAAAGTTACACATCTGATTAGGACCCCAATCCATTCTTACACAGCTGCTGAGTGCCAGGATTTCTGGCTGAGGAGAACATTAATTTTGACAGGCTTTGCTATTATGATCTGGAACCTTTCCCTCAGATATAACACTGTCTGGTTATCAGAGTTAAATACACCATCAGTTAAAAGTCGCATGTGTCACTCCAATCCAGCACGTGGCAGCAAGTTCTGCAACTGTAGTTGTTTTCAGTGCAGCATCTCTTAAAAAGAAAAACCCCCTCAGATTAGAAATCTGCTTACAGGTTAGAACAGGACATAGGTCAACAAAAATAACTCAGAATGTCCAGTTGTGTTATAATATTGCTTGTCTCATTTTTAAGTTATATTGACAATTAGGAGGAGAAAAAATCCATTCTAAATAGCTGGATAGGTACGTTTCATTTATATCCATAGTTCTTTTACTTAATGATATTAGGCACAGAACAAATCCCATTTCCAAAACCAAAGTAGTTAATTCCATAAGTTAATATAACTATAATAGTAAATAGTACATATAAAAATATAAAATATAAATATTTTGAAAATGTCATAAACTTCACAAATGTCATCAGTTCTAAGAAGATCTTTGAAGTGATTCATTCTGAGTAAAGAAATTTAACTCTCATTTAAGGTATTAATATGTCTGTACAAGGAGCATTTGACTTGAGACTTGATCTTTACAGAATTCTTGATTTTCTTTAAAAAAAAACACTCATTGCAAAATCACATTCTCACTGGCTAAATATCATTAAATGTATAATTTTCCCCATGGCCTTGCTGTGAATTTATTTATTTATTAAAACATTTCTATGCCGCCCCTTGCCGAAGCCTCGGGGCGGCTTACAACACAATAAAATACAATAAAATACAAAAATAACAATATAAAATTAAAATTAACAATATAAAATAAATAAAAAAATAGATGGTGATGAAGCAGTAATTTTAATACTGTGCTCTTTCATATTATGCTTCCTAAATAACCGAAATCTCTATTCATGTAGCAAGGCAATTATGTTATCAGAAGCCTCTGGGATATTCTCAGCTTTGATTCCAGATCAAACTTTAAAATTATACAGCTTGTAGATGTAGGCATGTTTTAATTTGTTGTGTTTTAATAGATTTTTAATGTGTTTTATTTGAATGTGTACTGTAAGCCACCTAGGAAGAGCTTGGCAGTTATAGGCGGCCTATAAATACATGTATAAAAAAATGAATTCTTCTTTCTACATTGTAGTTTTAGAAAAATGGTAGGAAGATGTGGACTTTGTAAGAACAGGAAAATAATAGTAAATTCAAACAAATGAGAATGTTTAACGTTGGCCTGCAGATCCTGGCTTACTTGGAAGCCATGAGCAATAGTTTTACAGTTTAGATACAGTGGAAAGCTCTTGTTAACTGTAAAATTTTGACTTATTTTACTACTTGTATAAAGGTAGGAGTGAAGTGGCAACAAGTATGGTCACTTTATGCTAGTTGTGGCATTTAGCTGACACAAAATCACCCTTAAGGATCTTGCTTTAACCCAGGAGGTATGAGTGAATTTATGAACTTAGGATGCTGGCTTTGCTGAACAGATGAAAACAAAACCAGGCATGCAGCTGTAGATTGTTTTCCTTTTATGTTTCTGGAAACTCAAACTGAGGTATAGATTCTGACCTATCATGAGCACAGACGATTGTTTGGTGTGATGCCTGAATTAAGCCAATAACCTCTGAATTTTAAATGATTTGTTAAATATATAAATTAGATAAAAATGCACTCTGAGGATGAGCTAACTCCACAATTCAAATTTTCAAAATGTAGCTATAGAAACAGGATACACAAGAAAAGTATCTGGATTATACTTGGAATATAGAGGGCTGAATCATTCAAGTCATTATTGTGACCATAGTTGTTCATACAAACATTTGTTATAGAATTGCTGGCTGGAATTCTAGTTGTGGCAGCAGAGTCTCCAAAAGCATTATGACAGCTCTAGTCAGCTGACTGTAATATGTACAATAACATCAGGTGGCCTGTACCTTTTAAGAGCAGTGTACATCTCACCAGAACTGTGTGTATTTTTAGGTTTCTTGGTTGGTAACAAGCAAGCACACATACTTGAACATCTCAGATGAACTGAACCTAGTTGCTGACATTGCCTAATCAGAAATGAGCAGCTGTTCTTTTTAGGATTGTTTGTTAGTAAGAGGCTATATATCTGAGCATATGTTATCTTAACCTACTGAATAGAAAGCAAGTTCCACAGCTCTCAATAAAAGTGGGTTCTGGTAAGTGAATCTAGGAGCAGGATAGAGT